ATTTTTTGTTTTACTATTTTTGTTACCATCCTACCCGATGCTGGTCATACATCGCTTAAAGAAATAAAAAATGAAGTAAGGATTTTCCTGTATAAATCCAATAATTTTTTTTGCTTCTTTTTTTTTTAAAACAAGTTCGAACACGTGCGTGATTAGAGCACGTGACGGCCGCTGTGCCGCATCTCCCCATGGGCGGTCACGTCTGTTCTGCTGCCAGCTCTGCGGATGAGTCGGGACCGTGGGGATAAGGGGAACGTCACCTCCCCGTGCCCTGCTTCAGCACGATTTCAAAACAGGATTGGTGTTAGAGAAAAGCTAGGGGCGAGGACGGAGGCGGCAAGGGAGCGCAGGTTTCCCATATTGCTCCTGGCACCGAGCTCCTCCTGGACGCGGGTCAAGTCCCGTCGGGTGCGCAATCCCACGCCCGGGGAGCCGGCTCGGAGCCCTTGGGCTGCCAAACCAATCCTGCCCCTTTCCAGCCCGTTATCGCAGGCTGCCAGGCAATTTTGGTCAGAGCACCTCCGATTTCCACCTCCCTCACCTCAGCGGTCCCATCTCACAGCCACGCTGGGAGGACGAAGCTGCTCCTAGGAGCGCCGAGGAGCAGCTTTGGAGAAGCTGTAAGAAAGTGGATAAATCTTTCTACGTTTCAGAGCGGGGTTTAATTGCATGTGGTAAACAATGGGCGGGGGTCACGCATTTCATACAAGGTACGAAATCACGATGAAGTGGTTGGTGGCTTTGGCAAAGGCAGAAGAAGAACCAGTACCCGGGCAGGTGTGCCGGGGCGGGCAAGGTGCCCAGCCCCACCTCCGGTGCTGCCCTGTCTTAAACCCCGCGTCTCCGCAAGGGAAATCCTACGTTTATCACCAAAAGGAAAAGGAACCTGTGCAGCGCGACGTGGTTACTCCTCCCGGGATGAGCCCTCGCTGTGACAGCTCGGGTTAAAGCCCATCCTGGCGGTGCCCCTCAGAGCAGAGCAGCCTTTACATTGACCACGGCCCGGGAGGGGAGTTCTCACTGGCAGGGAGGGACGGTGACATTCGGGTTCTGGTCTAGATGTTAGTTAGAGACGTGTTCTACTGGGAAAAGGTTTTTCCACCCATTTCTATGCGTGACCCATCCCACCCCACGTGAACGAGCCCCTCTCTCTCTCTCTCTCCCCCTCCACCTGTGGCTCCTGCCCTGCTCCATCCCGGGCGTCAGCCCACTGCCTCCCACCACCCTGCTCCATCCGCCTCCCTGCGCCCCAAGGACCACCCGAAATTCCTGCGTCAGTTCTGTCCCCACCGTATCAGTTCTCCCCTCTTGGAGCTGACAGCAAGGGCACCTCTCCTGGTACCACTCATCTTGCATAGCTCCCTGGAAATCTCTCCTGTCTCAAATTATGCCTTGGGGTACAAAAGCACAGGCTGGGGAAACAGCTCTAGGGCTTACGCCTTCATCCACCCGCAGAGAGGACCCGGCATTCCGGCACCAAGAACGCCAAGTTCCCACCGGGGTTTGAGCAGGCAGCTCACAGCGGCGTTCCCCGCAGCGCACCCCGCTGTCACACCCTCGCCACCGACGACCTGCGGCCAGGCAGGGACAGCAGGGTTACACAGAACAAATGACAACGTTTGCCACCCTGCATCTCTAGGAGATCTCTGCCTCTCTGCCAGCGACCCCTGAGAGCTCCCGTCTCAGCTCTGGGGCTGAATCTCCTCCAGCCTTTGGCGAGCGAGTCTGGGCAGCGCCGGCGTCCCTGGCACGGGCTGACAGCAGGACTCCCTGGACCGCCTGGGGCACGGCGGGTGAGAGCGTCTCCTGCTCCAGCGGCCCTACACCGTGAAACAGGACGGCTGACAGGGGTGACACTTCGGGGACTGGCCTTCTGACACAGGGACTAGGCTAGACAGCAGCCCGAGGGTAATTGTTTTCTCCACTGTGGTAATCAGATTGTGCAAGACGGCGGTCGGAGACAGCAGGAAAAGCTTTGTGCCTCCAGGCTGCATCTGCTGACGGAGGTCCTGAACCTCCAGCCAAATTCCACGCTACAAACACCGCAGAGCAACAGCAAAGCAGCAGACGCAGAAGTCACCGCACCACCGGACGGCTGCTGCGCCTTGCGTCGTGCGCTCCTGTTCATTTACACACACACAAGACAAGGACAGAGCAGTTATGATAATTTACATTTTAATCAGCCAAATATACAAGTTCTGTTGTTGTTTTTTAAACTTTATCAAGTTTGTTTCCATCTGGGTCTGATACAATTAATGTTGTTGTTTTTTTCCTTTAAACAAAGGATGATGCGGTTAAAAACTGGCACTATCCCTAATAAGGAGAACAAAAAAAAAAAAATGAAGAGGAGGGAAAAGGGGAGACTGGCTGCAAGAAAGGAGGGATGAAACCGGGAAGGAACGGCACTCCAGATGTCCATGAAGTCAGGCTCCCAGATTATGCTGCAACACCCTGCAGCAACATTTGACGGGCCATTTGCCCAAAGGGGTTCCTCAGATACGTTATCCTTTGGGCTTTCACTAGCAAGTCAAAGTTCCCCACCCCATGCCCCACCCCACAATGACCCCACAATCTATTTTCTTGCAATCTAATATTTGAAGCATCTCCCCTCCCGCACAGCTCCCTCCCGCCCTGCCCCCCCCCGTCTATGAGTTCTTAATCCTAAAACCAGCAAAAACATTCAGGTTTCCAAACTGTTACAGAGAATTGCTGTTCAGCACAGTTCTGCACCAAAGGTAGCAGCTGCCCCTAACCCCAAATGGAAATCTGTGCCGGGATGAAGACAAACACATCGTCAGTGTCTCTTGGAGGTGAAGGTGACTTCGATGCCGCAGTACACCCTACGTGGCATCGATGGTATGCAACACGGCAGAGCTCCCGGCAGGCACCAGGCACAGTTCCCTGGCGTTTCCTCCTCTTGCGTGTCCTGTGCTTACTTGTTAAGGGATAGTGACTGCAGTCTTTTACCTGCCATGGCCGCTTCGTCTTTTGCTGGGGGAGGAAAAGAACAGGGGTTTCATCGTTTCACAGAGCACGTCAGGGACTGGTGGTGGCTTGACAGCCCCCGAGACCGAAATCCTGCTAGCCACGTACAGCGAGGTAACAGGAAAAAAATCCAACCCTCCCCGCCGGTCCCTGGCAGGTCCCCTCCAGAGTTCAGAGGAGCAGCTCCCCTTGCACGTTCCCCTCCGTCCTCGGCCTCTCTTCAGGCGTCCACAAGTTACCCTGATGCTGATGCACAGGCTTCTCAGTGGGAGCCACCGAGAAGACATGCTGATCAGACTTCTGGTTCACACCTGGCAGAGCTGAAGAGAAGGTCCAGGCGGGGGAGGAGTGCTGCGAATTCCCTGGGCAGTCGGGACCCCCAGCATGCAAAGCCGATAAATCACACCCAGTGCAAGGAACTCGCTAAACCCCCAAACCGGAGCAAGCACTGCTTGGGAGGCTGAGGACAATATGGATATCAAGGGCGATTCCCTTCTCTCCTTCCCTGCTCAGATGTCCTAGAGCTTTATAAAGCAAGAGCTTTGTAAGAATGAAACCGCTGAACCTGGTTTTGACGAGGGAAGCTGTAACGACACTCAGCAACACCACGCTGTGTCAGGAGATGAGGGATTACCCTGTGCGATACGAGAAATCATGCCTCCCGGCAGTACAGCCATTGCAAAGAGAAGTAAGGGGATACGATTAATTACTCTCTAACCTTTTCTTTCTTCTTCTTTCTTTCTGGCAGCTTCTTCCCTTTGCTTCCGAATGATGGCTAGTCGGGCGAGATCTGCCTTCGCTTGTTCTGTTTTGCCAGCTAGGTGCATTTTCATGTATCTTTCTTTTGCCTTTTGTTTCTCTATTTCCTCTCTGTTTGAGTGAAACACACCAGTCGTCAGAGCATCCAAGTGAGCACGCAGATACGGGCAGAGAGGGGGAGGCTCGCTGACCGGGAGGGACGGCGGGGACAGAGACGATTGCCCACAGGGACTGGGGGGGCCCTGTCACCAGTTTTCGAGCACGGGTCCTGTCTATTGCAGGGTTTGTAGAGGGATGATGAGAGAGATTATTTCTACCTTCGTTCAGCTAAATAAGGACACTGACACACAATGAGGTCAAATGAATCGGCCCCAGAGCGCACAGCACCGTGACGTGTTTTCCTCAGCCTTACCCTCACAAAGGCGTACTTCTGCTGAAGCAATCTATCCCAAATAAGCAAGCTTAAATTTTTCCACTCTGAAACTCTCCATTGCTAAATGAAACTAGAAGATTAAACTTTGGTTCTCATCTCATTCACCTGCTCAGACAAAAATTTCACCATGACCCCTGGAATCCGGGAAACCACTGCCTGTCACTAGGGCACCTTCTGCAGCAAGATTAAAGCGGACCCCAGGGTGACCTCCGGTTAATGGATTTCTGTTAGGTCTGATTTTTGGCATAAGACTTCAGGAAAGGAACGGTCTACACCCGCTTCACAGCAACAAACTTCACTCTCTCAGTGCACCTGGCCAAGCTGCCTGGCTCCAGGATGGCCACAGCTACTCCCAGAGGGCAGACAGCTTCTGTAAAGTTTGTAAGGAAAGACGTTTTGAACCGCAGCGAGTCCTGCCCGACAGTTTGCTGCTGCTCAGTGTCCGCTTTAGAGGGCAACACACTTAAAGGGCTTCCCTGAAACGCCAACGCATACACAGCAGGGAAACATCTCCCCGCGTTAGGCTGCTGCCACCAGCAAGGATGAAATTCCGGGAACGCGCTAGCTCCCGCCGGGGCAGCAGGCAAGACTCACCGCTCTCGTCGCGAGAGTTCCTTAGGTCCATCCAGGTCCAGCTGAGTTACTTTTTTGGTTGTCTGAATTACACGATTGGGATTCTCTATGTCTATCAACCCTTCCACTCCTTTGCGCTTTTGCTAAGGTTCAAGAACAAGAGGGAGGTTAAGAAGCTCTCTCAT